TGTTTTGTGCACAGAAGTAATCTAGAAGGCATCACCAACATTATAGAGGAGAGGCTTTAGAAAACGTAGCTCCTCATTGTTGCAAATGTCCTCTTAATGAGAAATCTGAACTAATACCCAGTTAGGGACTGTAGTATTTGCAAAGTTTACTATGGAAATTATGTTTTAGTTTTACAAAGATGGAAAAGCCAGCATTAGACAGTGTTTCCCAGTAGAACAATAAAGGAATATTTTTGCTAACCTGTACCATATATTTTTCTATTTGCTGCCTCTTACTCAGCTCTCAGCTATGGTTACATTTGTGGACTTAACAGACTGATACCACAGAGGAAAACTCTGGTTGTGAGGGTCTGCAACATTTTCCACTGATAAAAATGTATATATCTATTGCTTAAATACTCAGAATTTTGAACCATGTCTCTAAACATAAATTTTATATAAGTACATTATTGGCACTTTACTCTGGGGGACAATTTAAATTTAACAAACATTTTCTTTGTTCATTTTCCTTAAAAATTATCATATTTTAAATATTTTTCTTCTCTTGCAACAAACATTTTCTTTGTTCATTTTCCTTAAAAATTATATTTTAAATATTTTTCTTCTCTTGTGCTCATGACATATACTACATATCCACAATCATATACATTTCTTATTTCCATAAACACACAATAGCAAAATTATATCAAAGTATCAAGAAGGCACACAGTTTTATACTAATTAGAAAAATATGATTCCTGTATCACTTAATTATTTGTCCAATTTCTGTTGATCACAGGATTGGTTAAAATTGAAAAGATTACTGAATGTGTTGATCTTTCTCTCACCCTCCCCTACTTCTTGGAGTAAATTTGGGATTAGAAGTAATTACCCGAAGGATAAGAAAATTATACTAACAGAGAGTTATACCATTTTCTTCTAGAAAGACTGCTCCCCTAATAGGAACATGTGCTTACAGGCAAAAGTCTAGTTTGAGAGGAAAACGTGACTTATTTCTCTACAAACTAGCCTACACGTTCTCTTCATCAATACATGCCCTAACATGTGGAAGCCTTTTCCACATGGTGCATCACTCTGCTCTGGGGGCTCTTTGAAAGTGAGCCTTTCAAGTTCATGCCCTACAGATCCCTGAAGTGTCTGGGAACTTACCCTTTGCTTTTGGTTTGAACATGGAACGCTTTGGGGCTGCACAGCATTGCCGAGCAATTCATTACAGGACAAAGAAATGTCTGGGGTTAGGCAGGCAAGCGACGAATGGTCCTTCATTTTGTCCAGAAAACATCAAGATCGATATGTGGGACATGCAACGTTTATGGAACACTATGTTTTCGTTTCCCTCTAGGGAAAGGAGAACATGCTAGATGGTCTCTTTCGGAGGATGGCTACAATGATTGACGCTGCTTAGTACACATCTTTGGTGTCTTCTTCCCATCTGCTAGTAGCAACACAGCCACCTGATCTTGGTTAATTTCCTGATCTTTGTTAAATTCCTATGTATCAGAATTCAAATAATTTTATTTTTGGCAGGTATATTTAGCTTCATTGATTGAAATAACCAAAATCTTGGGATAACATTATAAATCAAAATGAACAGAGCTAGTTCTGAGACGCTCTAATAGGCATTAATGATCCATGATGCACTCATTAAAATTAGATCTTTTATGAACAAACAAAAGGATCCCAGAGAAAGAGAAAATAAGTCAAAAGAAGCGCCTACACAGGTTGCTTCCAACTCACATAATCTGTCAGCAAGGAAAACTAAATATCATCATGAAATCTGTTTAATGAGTAAGTTGTTCCTAGAATAATGCAAATCAAAATGGAGACAGCAACATAAATGTAGTCCAGGTTACATGTCCTTGCAAATATCCTTAACTATGATGTTTTAATAATTTGAAAATCAGAGCAATGTCAAAATTTTGGGTTGAAGTTATTTTTTCCTGGTTCTTTTACAGAAATGACACAGTAGAGGATTGGGAAACTAGATAATCTTCTGAGGGGAAAAATACTAACTTTGCATCTCCTTTAAGAGGAATCAATGTCAAAGTGACAGGAGACAAAATGGCAATATATTTGCTCAATGACATGTGCACATTTTCCCAAGTCATTCCTGAACGGAGAAGTAAATAATGCGAATTTGGCCCCATTGTTCTCTACTTGTTTAAAGGAAGGTTAAAAGCAGGGCTCTAGTATGAGAAGATAACTGACTTAACATGAAATCTTTTCAACAGCTTTTATAGGGCCTGAGAACCTCAGGTCATTGTTGTATCACTGTGGGTCCCTCAATCACACAGCCTTAAAGCATTATATTGAAACCATCAATGTGATTTCTATAAAGCCACAAACTTCTGAACTCAAAGATGTCAAATCTTGAGAATGTGGAAGCCTGGGTTTTTAAAATAACTTTTTGAATTGTATTTTAGTTGCAGGTAGGTCGGATCTGTCTGACGTACTAAATGTACCCAATGAGGGCACTTTACTACTGTGTCTTCCAAAATACACACATCTTCCATGCTGTCCTGTTTTATTAACACCAAGTTAAAATATCAAAGATTAAATACCTTCTGTAAGCCTTTATTAAACTCTGAACTCCAATTTGCACGAATAAGCAAATTCAAATACCAATTATGATCAATATTGTATATTTCATTCTATTAAGGTTGAATGCAAATATCAGAAGCATGAAGTTATATCTCTAAGAGTTTTATAACTGCGAACAATTATTTCGCCTCTCATGCTCCCATGAGATAAAAGTGGAGAGAAACTCATAACTAAGTTCTTGCTATTCACAATGTTTCCATTGGGTGTAGCTATGATATTAGATAGGTTGATATCAGAGCCTGCATATTCAGGAAGAATGCCCAGACATTTGGGGATTTTTAGTGACTCTCTTTGTCTTTAGCATTCAGTTGGGTTAGTCAGCTTTACATTTTATGGGGAATGCAAATCAAACAGTTTCAAATCAATCAAGTCAATAAGTATTTCAGTGTCTTTTTCTGAAAAGGAAGAAACCTTAAAAAAAAAACTGACACCTGTATTAAAACTTAAGTCAACAATACTTTCTATATACTTTGTTCATTCTTAATTTTTTAGATAGCCATATAATTCACACCTTCTATATAGATAGGCCTCTTTTGGATGAAAAGGGATAAATACAGCAAAAATCCTCTAACAGTACAACTCCTTTCTTCAATGACGGGTCTGAGCAGAGTGTCTTAAAGTACTTTTTTATGCTAAAATAAAAGATAAATAAAAAGTATGTCTCCTAAAATGCAAGGGCAGCTTACATGCTGAGATGTAAATTGCTAACTCTTTTCTTAACAACACCATATGTCTCAGATAGGTTCCAAATGCAGTCAGTTCTCAAGGGAACATTATGCATGGGAGCGAACCAGACCGAGGCACAGGCTTCACTGTGTGTTGATTCTCCGATTAACCAGAGATGCCACGTTGGATTTTGCAGATCATCCAAGTGTCAGTCTGAAGGGCTCTTCTCCTTTCCTGACATCCTCCCCAAACCAACCAATTCACAAAGAACCCTGACCCCTTCACAAAAAATATTTCTTTTTGTTCAAACTTCCTCTTGCATAAACCTCAACATATTTTAAGGAATTAAAATGTTCAACTCCCTGCCCTAACCGGTTTGGCTCAGTGGATAGAGCGTCGGCCCGCAGACTGCAGGGTCCCAGGTTCGATTCCGGTCAAGGGCATGTACCTTGGTTGTGGGCACATCCCCAGTAGGGGGTGTTCAGGAAGCAGCTGATCAATGTTTCTCTCTCATCAATGTTTCTAACTCTCTATCCCTCTCCCTTCCTCTCTGTAAAAAATCAATAAAATATATTTATAATAAATAAATAAATAAATAAAATGTTCAACCCCTGAACTCTCTAACCATGGGTTTGAAGTAATATACACATTAAAAAGACTATAGAAATTCAGTTTACAAAGTTCAAAAAGGGGACATCTGAAATACTTTCAACAATAAATATACTTTTAGAAAGACCAAAAGGAAAAATATTGTAAGGCCGAAGAAGTTACATTATTCTGGAGAACCACGAAAAACAAAAGAGCAACAAATAAACCAACATGCATTAGTCAGATATTTCTTTATTCATTCATTGCAGTTTTTAGCATCTCTGTCAAGTTTTAATGTTTTCATATGGGAGTGAGATATATTTTTAAATGTATTTACCTAATATTAAATACCTTCCATATATGCTACTACCAGGTTAATATCAAATTAAGGCAGGCATTTCTGCTTAAGCTCTGATATGTGCTAGGTTCAACTTTTGTATGTTGAGCGTAATTCTTTTTTTAAATGTAATTCTTAATAACATAAAGTTATATCATCTTAGTATATATGGACTTAAGAATTTTGCTTTGGGAAAGCAAAGTGCCCTGGGACAGTCTAGGTTGGTGCTCCTCAATCTCTCTCTGATGAATGGACAGTTTTAAGAAATTTTTCAATATGTCAGTAACTGGTATTTTTGTAAAATATGAACTTATGCACCCAGATTGTATGACAATGTCCATTTGCTATGAAAGCTTCTAAATGCTTATGCTCACTTTCTGTACTCTTCTTGTCATGGACAGGGAAGATATGTTTGGACACTGGCATCAACTTGTGGCCTCTACTCTGCATATCACTATTCAGATATTTATAAAAAGAAATCAAGATAATGCACCCATGTGAATGACAGGAGATACAAACTTCCTTCACTTTGAGTGCATCTTGAACTACTTTTTGCTGTATTTTTCTTCTAATTCACTTTAGGGGATGAGCAGCAGAGATTCAAAAGAAAGGCCATTGAAGAATCACCAAAGAGTGTGTGGCAGTTTTAAGAAAGATGAGTTGCTACATGGTATTAAAAATTATACATTTATGAATGGATACTTTTGTATCCCAGTGACCCACTAAAGGCCTTAGCATGTACTCATTCTAATCCTAACAAGAAGTCCAGACACTATTGAATCATTACTTAATGGTATGTGGGTCTTACCTGGGATGCCAGGTGGTGTTTTCAGATATTTTCCATTAAAATGTTGAATTACCACTTCACATTTTTCAGTAGACTCCATTCTGGAAAAAGAAGTAAAGGGGGATTATATACTTTTCACAAACTTGTGCATATTCAGGAAAATAAATAAAAACAAGAAGGAAAATGGAAAATCTCAATTTGTTTTACCAGAATTTGCCAATTGTTACCATGACCACCATGACCAGGTCTACAGGACATCACAAACACATCATTTCTGAGAGAGTATTGCTTATGTGGATGTCTCTGTGCTGAGTCCTCAACCAGAGGCAATACTAAGGCATGATCTCATGTAATCTATACAACAATGTTTGGCAATTAAATGTGCTCTTGCCTGGCTGGTATAGCTCAGTGGTTGAGTGTGGACCTATGCACCAGGAGGTCATGGATTGGATTCCCTGGTTGTGGCTCAATCCCCAGCAGGGGGCATGCAGGAGGCAGCTGATTGATGATGTTTCTCTCTTACCAATGTTTCTATCAATCTCTCCCTCTCCCTTTCTCTCTCTTTAAAATCAATAAAACATATTTTATAAATGTATTTTCTATTGTTGATAGTATTATAGATATCTCCCATTTTCTCCCCTTCCCCTCCTCCTCCCAGCACCGAACCACCCCCCAGGTCTTCATTACTCTATTGCCCGAGTCCATGGGCTATGTATATAAGTATATAAATTCTTTGGTTTATCTCTTCTCATTAAAAATATTTTTTAAGAAGTGCTCCATAAATACCTGTTAAATGTCTAAATTAGCAAACTTCATTATGGCTTTTCATATCAGGGAGGGTGCTGAGGCTTAGAGAGGTGAAACACTTGCCAAGAAGTTTAACTGAGACCCATCTGACATCAAAGCCATTCTGTAACTACTAAGCTATCCTGCAGAGGGACTTCACAAAGCAAATTGATGAGATGTGCTTTATTTCAACCTCTTCCAGCCTAAATAATGGTTAATAGAGTAGTGCCGTCATCAGTTTCATGACACTTTTGATATTGATAACCCATTAGAAAGATACAAAAGAGAATTACTTGGTGTCTGTAATGTGAGAGGAGAATGTAAACACACAAACCTCAGGTGCTGAACTTTCTTCATTATGAACAACCCTTGATTTTTTTTTATAATAGATATCAATGTTCCTAAACTGGGTTTCTTGTGCCAAATTTTGTCATCTCACATAGAAGCTAATGAATGAACATTTTGAGCTATACCATCATCATTTCAATATTGGCAGAAACACCATATTCCTAAGTAGAGTAGTATTGGCAACAATTTTAATAAATTAACTATATCTGGGCTTTATTACTTTATAAAATTGGATGGAAAAGATAAAAAATAAAGGGTTCACTCTGATTAAAGGAAATTAAGTCCCACAATCAGCACAGTAGAGACAATAATAAAAAAACAGAACGCATCCATATGAAAGGATGTACATGAAACGTGTGAAACTTGTCTAAAAGGCAAAGTATAATTTAAATGTTCTGCTCTGTTATGAATATGAGCTTTCTGGGAATGGAGCCCTTTGACACAAGTTGTAAAACTTTTCTACCTCTAAATCTTATGTGTGTTTCCAGGATCATATTATTTATAAGACAAGGAAAAACTATGTAAGCAAATGACAAAGAAGTTATACATTTATTACAGCTATAGGAACTGAAATGTTGTTTATCAAAATAACACCTATGTTCATCAAACAGTCCAATGGACCAACACAGGTGTTATTTTGATAAACAACAAGAATGAACCGATTTTATGTCCAAATGAAACAAAAGAAACTCTTTAATCTTAGTAACATAGAACTTTAAAAGTTAAAAATATAAAGATAGCATTTTGTTCACTGCTTACTCACAATTTCCCCCAAATCAGAAGACATTTGGATTAGAAACACAAGGTGAAACCTTGCTCATTCCAAATATTTTGGAGTAGCTAAGACACATTTTCAACTTCTCTAAGTTTTCTTTCTGGTGAATCTTTTATAGTAAGTCTTCCAACTTTTTTTTTTTTTAAGTAGGAAAGTTCCATTTCTAGGAACAAAAGAATTCTAATTCTGTTCTTTCTCTCTTCCCACAGGATCCACTATCTATTGTCTCTTAGGGAAAATAACCTTCCCTCCTAGTAGAGAGATGAATGGGTGAGGAAATGTAAGCCCTTAATGACTACAGATGTTGCTTTATGGAATTTTTATTCCAGGAGAGCTACAGAATAAAAATCTTATGCCCCAGAGTCCCCTTCCCTATTCCAGCTCTCTCTGGGCACCCATCTCAATAAAAGGCAGTTAAGAATCTAAAGCTTGCTTGCAAGAGTCCTACAAATCAAACCCTTTTTCTTTGTCTTAAGATGACATAGGATTCTGCCCTCGCCAGTTTGGCTCAGTGCAGAGAGCATTGGCCTTCACACTGAAGGGTCCCAGGTTCAATTCTGGTCAAGGGCACATGCCTGGGTTGCGAGCTCCATGCCCATCTCAATAAAAGGCAGTTAAGAATCTAAAGCTTGCTTGCAAGAGTCCTACAAATCAAACCCTTTTTCTTTGTCTTAAGATGACATAGGATTCTGCCCTCGCCAGTTTGGCTCAGTGCAGAGAGCATTGGCCTTCACACTGAAGGGTCCCAGGTTCAATTCTGGTCAAGGACACATGCCTGGGTTGCAAGCTCCATGCCTAGTGGGGGCCGTGCAGGAGGCAGTAGATCAGTGATTCTCTCTCATCATTGATGTTTCTATCTCTCTCTTCTACCTTCCTCTCTGAAATCAATGAAAATATTTTTTAAAATGACATGGGATTCTAAATGAAGACTAAAACCTAATGGGGTCAGTAAGTGTGTGGTGTGTGTGTGTGTGTGTGTGCACTTGTTGATTCTGTATTACGTGTTTTAGGGAATCCAGAGATAGCTAAAGAAGAATGTCAAGTGGCCAACCCACTCGACTGACCTCCAATATTTCTGCCCTGGTTTGAAAGGCTCAAGTTTTCCTTTTTGGATTCTATATATGACCGCCTTTTCTTAAGACGGTTTTAGAGCCACATCAAGCCGGATGGGGGCTGTTTCGAGGAACACAAAGACAGCAGCCTAGATTGTTCACTTCAGCTTCATTCAGATTTAACTAAGTCAACGTCTAGAGTGAGGCTTTAGAGACTCTCCTCTCTGAAAGAATAAATGCAATAAAAGTCTGTTTTCTCTCGCTGCCGGCGCTTAGTGTCAAACCGTGTTACGCCGCACCACCCAGCAGTGACAATTTCATTTTAATACACGGGGCACATTTTAACAAGGCAAAACAGTCCCAGCAAAGACAGCAAGATCAGAGCTGCCAAGGGGAAAGGCTCTGTGTTTCTCATGCATTTTATGTGGGAGCAGAACAAAAGTGAGACCCATGGAGGTGGGCGGGGGGGAGCGTGGGGAGGTGAGGGTTGGGGTGGAGGAGGGGGGTGGAGATTGCATTTGAAAAGCTACCTCTGAAGAATGTGCCCATTTTCTCCTCAAGTTTCACAATTAACCGCTTTGAAATGCCAGCTCAAGCTATCTGCAATCTGGCACACGCCTCAGTTGAAACTGACACTAGCATTATCAAGTGAGTCTGAAAAGGCAGCAGGCCAGACAAAGCTGCCTTTACATGTCCCTTTCAGACGGGCCACGGAATCACTACAACCGCATCTATTCTTCCTAGCAGGTACCTGAGCCCCCTCGCGTCCCTCGGAGCAGCTTGCATGCCAGGCCAACCATTCACCCGATGATACGTTAATTAGGTTCTTACAAGGCTCTAATCATTGTATAAAGCTTAAGGGTTTTCTGTTAGGTCTGATGTTTAAATATAAACACACATTAAAGGCCCCGGTTGACATTCTTTCTTGTCTCAGTGCCTAGGAACCTGGCTTCCGTCATTTAAAATGCATCACAGAATTGTGATTTTTTTAAAACATTATTTTTTCAACAGCTATGAAGAGGAGCTAATTTCACAGCCAATACAATTCCCACAGGCAGATGACATCAGCGGAGAGCCCGATCCAATATTAGTAAAATGTTCTGGGTCAGATTTGACCTGCAGAGGTAAAGAAGTGTTTTTGCAAAAACCATTTGCAGCCCACCTATCTCAAGCCCAATAGAGGACTTCTCAGGGTACGACCTTAAACCAATAAGCGTGATTAACCATGTATTTAAAACAAATCCGCCCTGTCATTTTATTATGCTTAATTAGAGGTTTTCACTATTGCCAAATTTTTGTGGTTTTGCAATCACAGGCTCTGTACAAATGATCGGCAACTTAGAAACATCCCGCACTGCAGGGCGGTCGTCCCTCATTTCGAGTAAGATTTACGCCAAGGGTCAGCATTAAAAGCTTTTTAAAAGTATTGCAGTGTGCACGCCTGACATTTTGAAAACAAGTTATGTCATTTACTCCTTAATCCACTGTAACGGAAGGAATAACTGGGAGTCCCGGGAACAAAGATGAGGGGATGACTTGAGTTTTCTTCTTAGTTTTTGCAATTTGTTTTCTTCCGGCCAGATCCTGGACATCCAAAGGATACAAGTGTCACACATGTCGCATAGTGACGCAGAGTGGCCTCCCTGCTGTCTCCCTTTGCAGAAACCTCGGCATCTGGGTAGTCGTGCTCAGCATTACAACACATCCTCTGAGGAAACAGAGGTGTGGACGATATTTGACTAATGGAAGCTCACTCCCGAGTTTGGGAATCATATACATTTGAAACCAGAAACAGCCTCAGGTAACTTCAACATTATCCAGGTGAAGAAACTAATGCCAGGAGACTGTGGCTAGTGGATGATCCGGGAATAGAACATGTGTTTCTTGCCCTGACCAGTTTGGCTCAGTGGATAGAGCGTCGGCCTGCGGACTGAAGGGTCCTAGGTTCGATTCCGGTCAAGGGCATGTACCTTGGTTGCGGGCACATCCCCAGTAGGGGGTGTGCAGGAGGCAGCTGATCGATGTTTCTCTCTCATCGATGTTTCTAACTCTCTATCCCTCTCCCTTCCTCTCTGTAAAAAATCAATAAAATATATTTTTTTTAAAAAAGAACATGTGTTTCTTGACTTTCAATTCAAGT